GTTGATACTTGCCAAATTGGGTGAGGCACGATGTGGTCCCGCCTGTTATCTCACCTGCACACCCAAGCCCACACATTTGTGTCCTTCATAATGACAGTGCAATGGGCATTTCCACGGTGCGTGTTTCATGAAAGAAGCTTAACAATTGCACCCTGTCCAACATTCCTGCTGATGCCCTTTCAAATGTCCAGCGCCGGATGGCAGCGATCATGTCTGCTCCTGCTGGCACTGGCAACTGACTGTATCTACATCTCAGTATGCGATAGCTAGCCCCATTCACATGATCGTCGTGATGTCCAAAGAAGAAGTCTTGACTGACATTCAATATGATCAAGCTCGTCCCTTCATAGCTGAAGTTGTCAGACCTTTCGCATCTCTCCCAGAGGTCACGGCGCCCCGTCCTGGTGTTGGCCACCCTCCAAATTCAAGAATAAGGCTCTCGCCATCACCAACAAGTTTAGGGAGGTCTTTGGCTTGCCTCTCATTCACTCTGACCCTAGTTTCAACAATGTCCACAATGAGAGCGATGGAATTCTCATAACTCTGCCCTTCATAGGTACACCTATAGAGTGGGAGCGAAAGCTCGTACCAGTTTGCCCTGACAACTTCTGCAATAAGAACGACGGAACAACTGTACACGAGCATGAGTGCTCACCATTCTACTCATACGAGCTGGAAGGGAAGGACAAGGGAATGGGAACACCACCACCGGGTGCAGGAAATGTGGCATCGCAGCGTCATGACAGAATAGCAGATGACATGGAGATAGGAGTAGTGCTGGAGATCATGGTTACTGGTGATGACGGCGAAGTGGAGAAGGCGAAGACAAAAAGCCTGGAACCCAGATCTGAAATTGGACATAGCAACATATACGACATGGTGCTCACGGGCGGTGGCATGAAGGGGGACATGAAGGTGCTCGGCGTGATCATGGTGGTGATCCACCATGCCGTCGGCCTCAACGCGCAGGACTCAGATGGAAAGAGCGACCCATACATCGTGCTTTCATACACCAAGTTCAGCAAGTCGCTCCACAACACGCGCATCATTATACCCTCTAAACAGAGGTCCTTTCTGGGTTAGAGGGTGCCTTATGGCATGCACAACTTGGAAATAAGAAAAGGTAATGAAGCTGGATGATAAATAACACAGAAACATTAACACTGATATACCCGATTATGCACAGTGGCACAATCGGGCATGAGCTCTTTGCATGCTTGAGACATTTAATCTACATTGGATAGGTACAGTACTTATACCTGATTGTGCACAGTGGCACAATCGGGCATAAACTCTTTCTGCAGGCATTATACCCGATTGTGCACAGTGGCACAATCGGGCATGAGCTCTTTGCATGCTTGAGACATCTAATCTACATTGGGTAGGTACAGTACTTATACCCGATTGTGCACAGTGGCACAATCGGGCATGAACTGTCTGCACACAACTGCACAATCAGGTGTTGATCTAGCTGTTTCAGCAAAACAAACTTGGTGGAGATAATGTAGTGTGTTTATATACACCTATAAATGACAGTAGAGTAATTCCGCTTAGCTGCATACAAGCTGTTGTTGACCAGTAAAGCTTGCTGAACAAGTTGCAAGTGGATGGATCTTTTACAAGCTACTGCCAAGCAGCTACAAAGTGTAGCAAACTTGGCGGAGGTGATGAGAAGCATTTATATACACTTTTAAATGATGATAGAATAGCTCCGCTTATCTGTATACTAGTTATAGTAAATCAGCAAGCTTGGTATAATTGAGTAATGCACAGATTTATGGCAAGCTGCTGTTATATTAGCTACAATGTATAACTAACTAGATGGAGGGAGTCTGGAGCATTTATATACACTTACATATGATTATAGAATAGCTCCGCTTAGTTGTATATAAGCTGTAATTGATTAGCAAGCTTGCTATGGTTAAGTTACAAGCAGATTTCTACAAAGTTGCTGTTAATTGGCTACAATGTATAACTAACTAGATGGAGGTAGTCTGGAGCATTTGTATACACTCATATATGATAATAGAATAGCTCCGCTTAGTTTTATATAAGCTATAATTGATTAGCAAGCTTGCTATGGTTAAGTTACAAGCAGATTTCTACAAAGCTGCTGTTAAATGGCTACAAAGTATAACCAACTTGGTGGAGGTTTATGTCCGATTGCACACAACTGCACAATCAGGTGTTGATCTAGCTGTATCAATCATGCATATACTCTTCATGCCTGATTGTGTAGCTGTGCATAATTAGATGTTGAACAAACTACCCCAAGTGTATACAAAGTAAATACTTGATTGTGCAGCCAGGCACAACCAGATGTTGAACACACTGTTTCAAGTGTGTAGACATCACACTTTTAACTGTGTAGCTAGATGCAATTGTATGATGTTAAACAAGTTATCTCAAAGATGTACAAAGCATATTATATATTTTATATCAATTATATATTAAATTAAATGCATCAAATGAAGCAAGTGTGCACAATTCTGACTGTCCTTTGAGTGAAGACTTCAGCCTCTTTTCTCCATTTAAAGGTACATTTCTTTTTACCTAGGAGTGTTGCCCACTGTGTGAGCTTCCACCATCACTGTTATTGTCCTTCTGTACTGTTCTCGTCCTCCTCCTGGACATCAGTTTATGCATGCACAGTAGATAGCTTTTGAGCATATTATAAGGCCCCTTTTTCATATAACCTGTTCAATTGTGATATTCAGACAGTATTTATAACCTTGTAGCACTGCTTTCATGACTTCCAAGGATGATTCTTGGGCAGAGCCCAGCTATCATCAGAGTTCTTATAAATTAAGTAGTTGACATTGATGCATATAGAGAACATGATGC